GTCCCTAATTCTCTCTTTCTCTGAGGCGCTTGACAAACAACAACTTTGTGTCCCTGAAATTCACTGGACTTGTTTCTTCCTCTGAAAATAAAGGGGATTGAATTCTGTTATGGCCTCAGATACCTGCTAGGGTGTCTGGTTACCCCAACGCTCTTCTAGGAGCGGTGGCCTAGTGAAAGCTCTGCAAGATTAGTGGTGGGAAAGTAGGGTTTTTCTGGGAATTGCAAACCGAGACACATCCTTTTTATTATTTATTGATTATTATTTATTAATGCCACCCCTTATGATCTTTTCAGTAGCGTTGGGAAAATCCTTGCTGAGGGTTGGTCAACGAGGGGCCAGAAAGGAGGAGGGGGTTCATCCTACAACGCCGTCCCTCTTCTGTGGAGGACTCTCTCTCCAACTGGAAAAAGCCAGCTTTTTGGCTCAATTCCTGGAGAAATGTGTAAAGCGCACAAAACCAGGTACTCAAAGGGAAGCGCCCTCTACTGTTCGCGCTGTTGTGAGACCCGCTGCTCTCCCGGACCTGAAACCCGCCCAGAAGCCCGGGCCCCCGGGGAGGGCGGTCCCAGGCGGCGCGGTAGGGCGAGGCGGTCGGTCCCGCCCCTAGGCGTGCCCTAACTGTGGCTATATCAAGGCTGCTCCGGAGGCTCTCAGCCCGAGTGCGAGCTGCGGTCTGAATCGGTAGCTGGAGAACCGGAGCCAGGCGCGGATTCGTAGACTCAGAGACTCGGAGACACTCAAGACTAGGTGAGAGAGCCACAGTAGACAAGAACAGACCCTGACCCGGCGACTTTGAGCTGTGTCTGCATGTGTGTCCGCGCGTGCGTGTGTGTGTGCTGTGCTCACAGTCGTTTCTGCGGCAGGTGAATGACGGGCGTGGGGAATCTGTGCGCTGGGGACTTTGCGCGCACGAGTGTCTGTAAGTACGCTTGTGACGGGGGTCGGGATGTATAGGAGACTCAAGGGTGGGGGAGGCAAGAGTATGGGGGATCCTCTGCCACGCACCCTTTCTCTTAAAACTCAGGTGGGGGTAGGGAAGTCTTGGGTGGAGCCGGGGCGGCGGTAGGGGAGCGCCCTTGACCCTGGGCACCACTTGCTTGAGGCGTGGGGAGAGAACCGTAGCCGTGGAGGGGGGGGGGGACTCCCCGGGAGCGCAGAGCAGGTTCAAGTGGGCCCCGCCCCAGTGCGCCTCTCTGGCTTTCGGATTCAACTACTGCTGCCTGGACCCAGGCTCCTGAGGTCCAGATCCCCGACGCCGCTGTGTTAGCTACCCGCTTGGCGCTGAGGTCAGCGTGGACTGTGTCCCCGGCCATCGGATACGTGCCAGGACATGTCCCTAAGAGCAAGCGAGGAGGTGACTCATGGTGACAAGGAGACCCCGGGGAGTGGGCCGGGTGAGATCAGAACCCCGCCCGGGCTGGGAGGCGGAGAGGCCCAGAAGCCCCCAGCCCCTCCTCAGTCTTAGTCCCCCACCAGCACAATGACCTACTTGGCTGGTACAGCATGTTCTCAGGGAAGCCGGGGCACTGAGAGGTCCGGGACTTAATGTCCTGCCCCCGCCCCGCGGCGCGCCCTCGGAAACCCGGAGCCGTGGTCCCGTGCTGGGCGGGCTCTCTGTCAAGTCTGAGATGCGCAGGGGTCTCACCCACCCCTTTCCCACTGCCGCCGGGAGAACCCCGCCTAGCCTTGTCCTCGGGTTGGGACGCTGGACTCCGGCGCTGAAGCTGGACCAGAGCGCGCAACCCACACCCAGGTGGAGGCGGGAGGGGGGCGCATCTTTGCCAGGTGGAACTTCCGAGGGTGCGGACGCTGCTCACAGCCTGTATCAGTCACTGTGGGGGATTCGGGGCGTCCAGGACCTAGTCCAAAACCTCTTTTCGAGGGCGAAAGGGTTGAGTGGACTTGGAGGGCGAGTCGCCCTCGGGCGCAGCCACCCAGCGCGAACGATGGGCCGCTGGCAGCATCAGTCACCTGGGGAACTGTCCTGGTAGTCTCATGGACACTTGGCGCCCATCTAGTAATGAAAATAATCTTGGTATTGAGTTTGACATTTTGGGGTGCTGGGGCAGCTCCTTCCCTCCCTCCCTCCACATCGCGTCTCGGGGAGGGTTTTTGAGCAATTTTGTTTTCGTTGTTCTTGTCTATTTTTATTTTCCATGGATCTGACTCATCCCTTGCTTTGGGCGTGGAGATAATGTGGAGGGGCCAGATCGCAGCGCGCCTATGGGCTCGCGCGCGCGCGCGCGTGCGTGTATGTGTGTGTCTGTCTGTCTGCGTGAGAGAGAGACAGAGATAGCGCGAGAGCGCACTGTTTCCCAATAGTGGCAGGGGCTTAGGAAGCGGGGCCGGCTCAGCGTGACGTGTTCGCAGCCCCCGCCCCCTATCTATCCCCTCCCCCC